GCCTCTTGCCCAAACGTGCCAGCAATGACACAAGTAACCAAGAGGCAGCTGGTGCCACCGCGATAGGGCAGCACACTCCAGCTCTGCAGCCTGTTCCTCGCTTCCCACAGACATCCCAGGACTTCTGCCACTCACTCCACCGCAGGCTCCTGCCACCGCCTTCCCGAGCTCGCCCAGGGGTTGCTGCCACCTCCTCGCTCCTGCCACGATGACCATCCGAGGAGCAGCAGCTCCAAAACGGGGTTCACAGAGCCCAGACGGCTCTCAGGATACCCAGGAATGTGCTGCCTTGCTCCCAGCACCAGGAAGAGCCGTGTTAGCAAGACCTGTGCGCTTGAACACTGTATGGAGCTTGAGCTGGGACACAGTCACACCTCTCTGAAGGGGAATTATCACTTCATGCTGACTATGTAAAGCTAAGGGGTCTAAGCTTGAACATTTGGATATTGGAAGCTGGCTATATTAAAAAAAAAATCCAACTCCTTGCAGCTACTGTCCTCTGCTCAGCCTATAAGAACATTAACTTCAAATGTCAGATTTGTAAAGAAATAATATAATTAAAGCTTATTTTACAGTGTTCATCATATCTATTTATAACAGAGTATGCATACACACACATACCCAATAAAATTTCTGAGTCAAGGTCTTTATTTTTCTCCTTGTAAGATATCTTCACTGAAAAGTTATTGTAAGCTGGCTTGCAACTCTTACAACTTTTTCTCAGACTCTATCACTTCCACACAGGGAAACAGTGCAGCATGTGTTATAAAGGCAGCCAATTAGGCTGGGATTGAAATGCACAGAGCGTTGCTTTTTATATGGTATACATTAAAAATAAATAAATCAAACAGAGCAGCATCTTGCCACAGCAGTCACATTCACACTCCCTAGACACTTCAGCTGTCTTTGGGACCACATTTACCATCTCACTCCCAAGCCTCACACATTCTCATGGTCACACATTAATTCCCAGTATTCAGCAGGCAAATCTGCAAGCTCAGCAATGGCCAGGATGCACGGAGGCTAGAAGGGAATCAAAGCCTGTTATCCACATTCCCTCTTGACTACGTGCCCTGATGTTTCTGAAACTGAAAGAGAAATACTATGAACGACAGTGCCACTTCACAGCTTAAAAGGAAAGTTTAAAAAGAATAAAGAAAAACACAGCAGCTTCAGAATTAGTTCTGCTCATGAAAAAAAAAATCAACATTTTCACGTTTTCTATGAAAAAGTCACCTTGCAGCTTCCCAGTACCCACAACTACCCTATCACGGGTGCTGCAGGCTGCCTTTCCTGGAGACTTGACCCTCGAGGGTTTTCTGTCTCCATTTTGCACGACTTCATAACTGATCTAAATAAACGTATGAAGAAATAACGTCCTAAGAGGACCCGGAAGCATCCCAGAGAGACCCAAGGAAGTAGTTTCTTCCGTTTAAGGGTACCCCACAAATAAGAAATAAATAAATACATACATACATAATGCGGGGGCCGGGGGAGGCGGGGTGGAGAAGCTATCCAAAATAAAACCATCCTCCTGCCTTCTTACATTACCTTCAAACGAGGCCTCCAGAATCTCCTGACAACACAACCAACTACTTTAACAATAAAGACCAGGGATGTTGGCAACATACGGAACCTCCTCACATCAAGCAAACGCGACCATAACGGCCGTCCAGCAGGCATCGAGCCCCTCGTGCCGCGGAGCAGCAGCCCGCACGGACCGCGGGCTCGTCGGTGCCTCGCCGCTGCGGAGCGCGGCCCGAACCAACGAGTCCGCCGGGAGCGGAGGGCAGGGCCCCGCACGGACGCTCGGCGCGAGGCCGCTGCGGAGCGCTCGGCCTCACACGCGCGACACCGCGGGCCGCCTTGAGCTGCGGGCCGCGCCACGGCCGAGCCCCCTCGCGGGGCCGGCACCGCCACTCACCAGGGAGATGGGCGTC